CGGGTTCAGTTAGAGCCCAACGCCTCGCACACACGCGCGTACATGTACGAGAGAAACGCGCATCGCTCGGCCCTCGACCACCCACCGTAACCGGGAACTCCTCGAAATTTTCCTCGCCTTCGCTTCTACGACGGTTTTTTTCCGTCATGGACGGCCCAAAGAATGTCATGCAACTGCGTCTCCGGCCCGCCCAGGACGAAAAGCCCATTTTTTTGTCATGATTTTTTGTCATAGAAGTAGGAGCTCACCACATCTATGATGATACCGAGTTTTGTCACAATTATCATCATAGAAGTGTCATAAGTATGACAGAAAAAAAATTTGTTCAGCCCAAAATGTCACGGATGTGTCTTTTTTTGTAGTGTATAGTTAAATTTCCTAAATGGGCTATTGATATGATCACTTCTCAAATGTCTCACTTTTTCTGGGGTAATGTGGGTGATAATCATAAATATCACCTTGCTAATTGGGGATTGATCTCCAGGAGGAAAGAGTTTGGGGGTATTGGGGTTCCCAACCTTAGAGATTTTAACATGGCCCTTTTGGCTTCTTGGGGGAAAAGATTTTATGATAATAGGGATAGTGACTGGAAAAAGATTTTGGCTTACAAATATAATACTGCCAGCCCTAACTTCTTTAGCACTATGGCTACCCTGGGGTCTCCTTTTATGAAAAGCTTATCTTGGGCCCTTGCAGCTTCAAAAAATTTCTATAGATGGATCCCTGGGGATGGCAAGAGTATTGCCTTCTGGCATGATATTTGGATTGGGGATTATTCTCTTAAAACTGTATTTGGGACCTGTATGATATCTGTCAACAGCAAGAATCTTCTCTTGCACATGTCTGGGTGAATGGTGAACTTCACCTTACTTTTAGGAGGTGTGTTGAGGAAAGGGCTATAGCTAGGTGGAATGAACTCAATAATCTAGTTAAGCAAGTGGCATTATATGATGCTCCAGATCAACCTATTTGGATGCTGGAATCTTCCAGCAAATATTCTTTCAAATCCTTTTATAAGAAAATCAAGTTTTTTTTGAAGGGGGGGGGGGGTCTGCTGAGATTAAAGATGATATCTGGAAAATCAAAGTCCCACCCAATATCCATATTTTTCTGTGGTTGATTTACTATAATAAGAGCTTAACTAAAGATAACCTTGCCAAGCGCAGGCATGTAGATGACATGTCCTGTGTCTTTTGTAATGAGCCTGAAACTATCCAACATCTTTTCTTTGATTGCATTGTTACTAGGCAGGTGTGGGTTTTGGTGGCTGACAGTTTTAATGTTATCAGGCCTGGTTCTTTTGCTGTGCTTTCTTCCTTTTGGAAGAGGAGAAAACATTTTGAAGCTTTGAACATTGTTACTGCTACTGTCTTGTGGAGCTTATGGCGTTTGCGAAATGATTTTGTTTTCCAGGGGTGAAGATGGCAAAGTATACACTGTATCTTGGATCTGTTGGGAGCAACGATCAGGCAATGGAAAATCTTATGTTCAGAGTCTCAGGGTGCGCTTCTTCTCTGATGCTTAAGGCTGTTGGACCACCAAAGAGGGGAGTTGCTTAGGATTGCGTGGCACTAATGTATCCTCGGAGCATCGCTGGGTTGCATCCTGCTAGTTTGCACATCTTTGCTTTGATCTATTTGTGAGCTGGCATGTATGCTTACCTGGCTATGTATCCCATCTAGATCTGCCTAAAAAACTGTGTAATAGGGCAGCTTAAAACCTGGCTTTTCTTCTGTGGCAGCTACTCTCCGGTTGCCGCTGAGCGCTGTTAACAGTTTGTATTGGTGACTTTTACTTTGGCTTTATAAAAGTTGGGGCGGGGCGAAACCCCTTTTGATTCAAAAAAAAAGGTTACCATTGACTGCACGAGATCTCGAGTTTTGACGGCTTCAATGCTCGCGATTTTATACACTCGATTAAGCATCTACATCCGGGGCCCTAAACTGGTCTCATCTACAGCCGTACGCCCTAAACTGGTCTCATCTACAGCCGTACGCCCTAAACTGATCTCAAACGCTTGGACGGGTCGCTCGATCACTGACCGATCACGAAAATGTGACCCAGCCGGACGCCTCAAACAGGCGTCAAACGTCTGGGCTGTCCGGAGCCCCTCATATCCAGCCCAAATATTGGGCGGATATGGTGTTGTCTGGGTGCGCTCGGGCGGAACCGATAAACCAGTCCAGCCCACCTCGACCCCACTCCATCCCTACAAATATCCCCAATCCGGAAAACCTACCTCACTCCGCTCTCGCCCCGTCTCTTCTTCTCCCCTCCAATTTCTCCGATTCGATCCACTTCGACGACTCCGACGACCATGTCAAGCGCCGACAGCCACTCTGACTCCGACTCGGACGAGGAGCTGGCACTCCGCATTGCCCTCAAGAGGTCCAAGGTGGACACGAGTGGCAGTTCCGGATCGGCCGCCTCACCTCTCCCCCGCTGGCCCCAGTGAGGACGTTGATGCTAGCTCCTCCCAGCCGGCCCGTGCGCAGCTCCACGAGGGCTGCGCAATCTGTGCCTCCCCCATGCCGTCCCCTGCCCCCGCCCGGCTGCTGTTCCCACACGGGCAGCGGTGGGTACTTGTGCCCGACCAGCCAGCCCGGATGCGCACACCGAGTCAGAGGCGCGCGCCGCCTGCCTCGAGAGGCAGCGGGCAAGGAAGAGGGACGTGGCAGAGAGCTCTGTCGGCCGCCGCCGCGGGTTACCGACGGAGCCCGATGAGGACGAGCGGCTCCTCGCGTGGGTCTACTGCCGGTCGTGTACAACAGTGGAGATGGATGCTCGACTGCTCTGTCGGAAGAACGCGAATGCCAAGGAGAAGGTGACAGAGGCGGCTCGACGGGAAGCTCAAGCAGCAGTAGGACCGGACCATCCAGCGGCTCAAAGGGCTCATCATCGTCTCCTCCTCCTCCTCATCCGACGACCGTGACTCCTCATCCGACGAATCAGACGATCCTCCACCAGCCATCGACGGCTACAGCCGTGCCGGCGACCGGAAGGGGAAAGGCCGTCGAGGAAGCGGTGACGATCCGCTTTCTTCAATTTAATTTTAAGTATTAGATGTAGTTTAAAGTTGTTTGTCATTTATGTGAACTTTGGTGGTCTTTTGAACATCCGTTCGTAATCTTTTGGTGAATGTATTGTGCTTGCCTATGTCGGTTTGCTGATCTACGTAGTTTGATCGATGTTGCATGGTTTAGTATGGATACGGGGATCGGATATGAGATACGTGGATGTGAACGACACCATTTGAGTGACCGGTTGGGCATTTTAGGGCCCGAATTTTCCTAGCCCGGCTGTAGATGCTCTTAGTTCAGTGTGTACGCAACAAGGTGACAGCACGGAGGAAGTAACATACATGGTCGACTAGTATACTTGTGTATGAAGTTTCGTGAGTAATGACACACGTGATATTCTTAGTGAAAAAAATACATGCAAATTGTGTTTTCAAATGTAACTCCGATTTTGTCATCTTGCCTAGAATAATCAACCAAGTTTGATACCCTAAAAATTTCAGAATTGTTTGGTTTTTTCTAGTATTTCTTTGCTTGATTTTATAATTCACGTCGGTGTGTGTGGAAGAATGTTCACATGTGAATTTTTGGTGATTAAATAAGCTATTATCCATGTTAGTAAACACATGGGACACAGAGATGCTATGCAACAAACAACATTGCCATTACTTTCCGTATAAGAACATTAATAGGAAATTCAAATTTTCGTTATATCTGTAAAAAGGTTCATCGATGCAAACGAGGATACAAGAGATAACGATGTATAATCTCCACACGTATCCTACAAGCTACAATCGAGCACATGTCGGTGTTTCCCAGAAGTAATGTCGACTTAGCAAGATGTCAAGGTAGCCAAATGTCAACTTAGCAATGTAGTGTACCAAGATAAGTTTAGTACTAGTAGTTCATACCCTATAATTTGCAGTAGGAATTGCTGCATTTTTCATGCATCCTATTTTTATTGTGTCGCTGAATCATGAATATATTAGTTTTTTAAGAACCTCAACGTGAGGGCAGGGGGTTCTTCTTCAATCTTGGCATGCTCTCTAGCTTGGGGGAGTGCAAGCTAAAGGATGTTGCCCGTCCATCTTCGCGATCTTGGAGTCCACTAATGGGATTGTCAAGAGCACCATGTCGGGCGAGATTTGGATAAGAAATACAAACACCTCTGCTGGTATGAATATAACTCAACTGCAATAGTTTTTTTTTCCTTTGGAGGATGCTACGGGAGGTCAATCTCACCGATGAGGTCGCCGACACTAACGTGAAAGCTCACCTTGAATGGTAACTACACCACCGCCTCAGCCTATCATGCTCAGTTTGAAGGTACGGTGATGACGTCCATGAGACTAGTCATTTGAAACAATTGCCCCCTCCCCCCACCCAAATGCAAATTCTTCGCTTGGTTAATCATGGAAGATAGAGTTTGGACCGCTGACGGCCTTCAGAGAAGAGGATGGCCAAATTGTGGCCTTTGTCAACTTTGTAGGAAGGAGTCGGAGACTTTCGCTCACATTATATCTAGGTGCCGTCTCTCCATTCGCGTTTGGAAGATGGTTCGAGATTGGCTTGACCTAAAATTCTTGAATGTTGATCACTGGGTAAACTTCAACTCGATCTCATAGTGGTGGCTTGCGGTGACTCATCCATCGGGCAACCGGATTAAAGCGATGGAAGAGCTTGTGTGCTGCACTGGGTTTAACAAAAAATGAACTCCGTTGTAACCTTTATTGCAACGCCATTACGCCACAGCATGCGAGCAAACTTTGCTTGGTTTGGCAAAGCCTAACTGCCGGCACACTTGACTGGTGGGTGGGGATTAACTCGCTAATCAACTTAATCAAATCCTAATTAGCCATGACAACAATGGCGTACGCTCGAGCTCAGCACCATGAATTCTTTTACTGCGACGGTGCTGGCTTGCTGTGCCCCTTCCCCACGGTGCACCCGCCGTCGACAACGAGGTTGTGCCCGTTGACATACTTGGCCTCGTCGGACGCCAGGTACACGGCGGCCCTGGCGATGTCTTCCACCTCCAGCACCGTCCCGCCGCCCATCTCGTTCATGCCCGTCTCCACCATCCGCCTCCGCTCCTCCTCGCTCGCCTCCGGGAACAGCTCTGCCAGCCCGCGCAGCCCGAACTGCGTGGCTATGCCGTGCGGCGAGATGGCGTTCACGCGCACCCCGTGACGGCCCAGCTCCCCGGCAAACGCGCGCACGGCGCCGATGACGGCGGCCTTGGAGATGCCGTATGTGGGCGCGATGATGCCGCCCAGCACCCCCGCGGTGCTCGCCGTGCAGATGATGCACCCGCTCCGGCGCGGCACCATGACGCGCGCCGCGTGCTTGATCCCGGCGACGGCGGACCGGGCGTTGGTGGCCATGGTGCGGTCGAAGTCGGCGAGGTCGAGGGACCCGACGGAGTCTATGACCATCCGCCCGGTGACGCCGGCGTGGTTGTGCATGACGTCGAGCCGGCCGTGGCGCGCCACCGCAAGGTCGACGGCCGCAGCGATCTGCGCCTCGTCCGTGACGTCGCAGCGGGTGTAGGCCGCGTCCGGGCCGAGCTGGGCGGCGACGGCGCGGCCGAGGTCGTCCTGGATGTCGGCGAGGATGACCTTGGCGCCGTTCCTGACGAACTCCGCGGCGGTCGCCTTGCCGATGCCGCTGGCGGCACCAGTGATCACGGCCACCTTCCCGGCCAACCTTTGGGAATTGGAGGCCGTGGAGTAGCCACAGTGGCTGACGAAGCGAGCCAGCGCGGACGGCCCAGCAACGGTATTTCTCCTGCACACACATACCCAAACACATAGAAATTCGGGTATGAGAGATCATATCGTGCCTCACTTCTTATTCGTAATCCAAGAACACGAGCCGGGCAGAGCCGGAGATCGATTTGTTCTTGTTCAGAAATCAGAATGCACCTTATCGTACCTGAGGACGACCTGCATCGCTAGGAACATCCTCGTGGATCTTCTGAGCTTCTCCTTTCAAGTTGATTTGTGAAGAGGGAAGTGCGTGACCTGTGTGTGTGTGATACTGTGACTTGGCTAGGCGAAGGAGCCGAGGACAGATTTATCAAGACGCCGACCCGCCAAGTACGTACTCGCAGCTCCCTCTTGATCATTGACACGAGAGCATCTGCAGCTGGGCTCCCCAAACTGCCCGAGCGAATCGCCCGGTCAGTGCCCCGGTAAGAAAATGTGACCAAGCCAGTCTTCCCTAAACCGGTCTTATAGTAACCGGTACCTATCCATTCCAGCCTAAATCTGAGACGAATTTGAGAAATGGGGAGGCTCATACACGCCCGGAGCCCTTGATGTGTCCGCCACGTTGAACCGGCTCACCCGGACCCCACAAATACCACCCAGATGAACCCTAGACCCGGATCAAACCACACTCTCCGTCTCTACGACACTCTCCATCTCCTTTCCTCGCCCCCTTCCCTTCTGATTCAATGTCGAGCTCCGGCAGCGCAGTGTCTGGTAGCAAAGACCTCATCGGCCGAGAGTCGCTGTCTCGCGAGGTGAAGGCGGACGACGACGAGGAGCTCATTGCACGCATCTGCAGAGCCAGTCGCAGCTGGACAAGGGCGGCAACGGAAGATCTGGCTCCACGCTGTCCTTATCACTCGGTGACGCAGTGCGGACAACGACGCTGGCCCATTGTGCCCTCACAGTTCCCGGTCCACCGCCGCAGCCACTTTCCACACCTGCTCCTGCTCACGTTCCCGGCCACTGTTGAGTCCTCGTGCATGCGCTGGTGCCGGCGCGAACGCAGAGGCAGACGCTGGAGGCTCGCGCCGCATGCCGCGAGAGGCGGCGGGGAAAGGGAAGGGCGGTGGTGGCCGACGTGATGTCCTCCCGCCGATCCCGCATGCGCGCGCCGGTAGATTTGGACGACCAGCTCCTCGCGGCGGTCCTCCGCCGGTCACTCGCCAAGGCACTTCGGCTTGCCATCGAGCAGTCGGAGCACAAGGCACTTCAACTCGCCAGCTCTTCGTCTCTGTTTATCTAGTTCTTTTAGTATGAATCTAGTCATGTCCAGAAATGTTTTGGTTGTATGAACTATGTTCGTTTGCTGGTATGCTCTATGACCATTTGTTGCTATGTTGATCTATGTACTCCGCCGCCTATGAAAGGACGATTGGGAAGGTATTAAGAAAAAGGTTATCGATTACTGTCTATGGACGTGGACGTGTCCGCGGATGTTTATTGGTGGGAGGGATGGCGACGCCCTGTGATAAGCTGCGACGTACTCCCTCCGTCCAGAAATATTTGTCATCAAAATAGATAAAAGAGGATGTATCTAGATGTATTTTAGTTCTAGATATATCTTTTTTTATTCATTTTGATGATAATTATTTAGAGACGGAGGGACTAGTAGCAAGTTGCAAACTTGCAATCATGCGGAGAAAGGGCACGGGCACGCCGGGCTTCTACACTAACATAAGAGGGTGAAACACCTTTGCCACTCCCTACGCCCCATCTAGATTCTCTCACCGATTAGGAACTTGCAGCACATACTTTCCATCTACCGTGGATACGATACGACCTAAGCAAAAGTTCGTGCGACACATTCGACCGTGAAGTTCACCTTCTTGCTTTTGCATGCTTGCGTTGCTGCCCTGCCTTGCACCCGAGTTCACCAAAAGGACCCCAACCCGCCCGCACCTTTGACGCACATCCTTTGGTATTTACTCGGGATGCACTTTAGAAATGATCGGTTGCAATATTGACATTATGAGAAAACTTGAGGTGGCTAGGCTTGATATGCTTTTGAATAAGGATGTTGGCGATAATGAAGAAATGGGTCGCAGCTCATCTCTCGTCGTAGTGACACTAGTGATACTGATATTAACACTAATATTAATGACTTATGCTCTGATGGAGATAAATTTGAAATTGTGGAAGAGAATATCTCGGCAAATTAAAGCAAGTCTTCTCCAAGAAGACCAGGGATACCTTCTCGAAAGTGTTATTCTGTGCTGGAGCATAGATGCTCTCCTTGTCCAGTCCATTCTTTCTCTTAAAGAATCGGGCCTCCTGAAGTATTTTAATTTGCACAGTATATAGCATCATATCTCTTCACATACCCCCTCCATCCGAAAAAGCTTATCCTATACTTGATGCTAGATACATCTATTGAGAGACAGTCTTTTTCGAACGGAGGGAGTATCTTAAACCACGAGGCGTGCCGACCCTGTCGCAGATCTTGACCGATGAGGCGAACCATTGCATGGCTTCCTCGACCATTGTCACCCTGCGCTGCTTGTGCACGGTTCATAGTTCCATTTCCATTCCCGCCCGTGTACACCAAATTTAAAAACCTCAAACTCGTTTCAACCTATCAGCAATACTACTATGTCCACACTTGGCGGTAAGCTAGCTTTAAATGCAAACACAACTCAGCCGTCATCACTCAACACTTAAGTTTACTAGTTAAATCCCCGTGCATTGTCATAAATAAAAAAACATTGACTTAAACAAGAGTGCTCTACACGTTCGATGTGTTCCATCCGACACTCGTCCGACGGTGCAAATCAAGAATGTCGATCAATAATATACACTGCTGAGATGCAAGCATCGAATGCGTGTCATACGAAAAAGATCGTATGCACAAAAATTCCGTTCAAACAGTTATTCTAATTCAGAATAAATGAGCATACCATCTTTTCTACTACTCATATTGTGACAAATATTAATTATATCTTCTACTTTCCACCACATCAATTGTTATGTCTCGTTAACCACCCTCTCTGATAGAAGACAAAACATCATCTTTCTCCCCACCTTGCCTTCCCCTTCGCCTCCATTGTTTTCATCCGCCTTTACTCTGGCATTTTCGACACTTCAAAAGTGCACCTTTTTTAAAACATTAGCAAATAAATGAAATAATATTCCTTCTTATTTCCAAATAATGAAAGGTTCTGCTAAGGATACCCCTATTTGGATGCTTGAGCCTTCTGGTACAAATTATGTCAAGTCATTTTACAGGTTGATCAACTTCGTGGGAATTCTTATATAGTTCGAAAATGTGTTTGGAAAATTAAGGTGCCCCCTTATATACATGTCTTCCTGTGGCTTATTATTCATAACAAGTGTTTGGCTAGGGATAACCTAGCTAAACGTCGTGTGTTTTCAGGACCCTCCTGTGTTTTCTACACAGAGCTTGAAACCATTCAACACCTTTTTTTATTGCACTATTGCACAATATATTTGGCAGGTTGTTGCCGAAATACTTCATATCGGTGTCATGCTCTTTTGAGTCCTTGTCTTTCATCTTGAAGCACAAAAAGAGACTTGATGCTATTAAATTAGTTACTTCTGCCACCTTGTGGGGCTTATGGCATTTGCACAGTGATTTTGCGTTTTAGGGGCAAGAATGGCGAAGTGTGAAATGCATCCTGTGTTTGGTATGTTCTCTGGTTTGTCAGTGGAAGATTCTGTGCTCAGGTGCCCAGCTACTCTACTACTCGAAGGCCTAAGACAGCTCGATCATCGGTGAGGAGATTGCTTGGTACAGATCTTCTTCGAGGCTGTAGTTAGGATTACATTTGTGGCTGTGATTTTGTATTCCTCTCTTAAGCCCGAGACTTGCAAAACTTGTTTGCTGAGATGCAGCTGTAGTAAGTCCATTGCAGTTGCTTTGGTTGCGGCCAATAGATGTGAAATGTTGGTATGTTTACCTTGACTTTAATAAACACTGGGGCAGGGGGAAACCCGTTTTATTCAAGAAAAATAACAATGAAAGGTCCACATAGTACAATGTGAATGCTTGCATCTCCTTATTATTTGACCGCAAAAGATTTTTTTGTGGCCACGGAAAATGAAAAGTACAACAAATACAATGTACAGTTGAGAAAAGCAAATTAAGAATAGATTAATTTACAAGCAAGTAGGCTCTCCCCTGATTGAATTTACGACGGGCCGGTTGTGGGACATACCTCTTGGCAGAATATTCTTCGACATACAACACATGCTCCCTCCATTCCATTGAATAAGGCATGCATGTATCCCAAATTCATATTTGACCATAAATTAGACCAACCAAATGTGTATTGTATGTGATAAAAATTATGTGGAGTATAACTTTTAAGTCACAATTTTTTTATTGATCTAATTTACGACCAAAGTTGGATTTTGAGAGGCACGCATGCCTTATTCATTGGAATGGAGGAAGAAATATGTTTGTACTCCCGAATCACAATGCTCACGTGTGGCCTGGATTATATGAGCAAGTGGACCAATATTGACTAAGAGCAATAACTTATGCGTAAACCAAGGTGTTTCGGCTAATTAAATAACTCGAGAATTAGAAAGTGCAACAAATACAATGTATAGTTGATAAAATCAAACTAGAAGAGACTAATTTACAAGCAAGTGTGCTCGCGCCTGATTGAATATACGACCTCATTTTTGTTCCCTTTTTGTGCACCTCAAATATACAGAGTCATTAAAGCATTGGATGTGCTTGGAGCTATGGAGAGCTAAGTTGGTCGTAGTGGGGAGTATCATATACTAATATCATGCATATGATACCATTGTATGATACTACATCTTAGTGCATAGCATCATATGTTGGTATCATAGCTAGATGACTTTATTTATTGTCATGCATGACACAAAGTAGCACATCATTTAATATGATACAATATCATGATATGATATTCAACACTCTCTTTCTTCATTTAGTTCTATGTCATCTCATCAAAATTGCCTAGTTGGCATGCATGATACTACTTATCATACTCCCATTATGCGCAACCTACAAGTGCTAAAAATTGTGGTGGTACTGTGTCAATTTCTAGGTTACACCGTGGTCCCCTTTTTTGAATTCATTCCTATCAATACCTATGGACTACCGTCATGAACAGTTATGTTGATGAGGAGTTAAGTGTATTACCCTAGAATAAGCGTAAATGGATTGGAGTTAATTTTGACGTAAACTATTTTTGGGATGA